AGCAGCCAAGGCGATGTAGGAGATGTTGAGACGTGAAGGTTACTGTTAGCACACGACCTTGTTTTGTTAGCATCTTCTGAAACTGATCTTCAGCGCTTTCTTGAACGGTTCGCAGCCGAGAGCTACGTGGTCCGCATCTAGCCTAGTGCTTTCGCGATCTCTTGTCCATTGCTCTCTTCAGATTAGCGGAGAGGCAGCGGAGCAGGTGGAGAAGGTCACGTGACTGAGGGTTGTGTTTACTAGTGATGGAAAATATGAGAAAGAGTTCGACTGGCGAATTGTAAAGGAGAGCGGGCGTCCTGTATGAACGAGCCTCAGCCACTATGACTATAGCAAAGCTAAGTCTAAGCTGATCTTCATTATGATGCTCACCTACGGTCATTAAGCTGTAAGCCATGACTGAAAAACGTACATACCAGGTACAAGTGGCTGAATTGGCCTTTCTGAGAGGGATCGCTTCCCTCATGCGTCTCGACATGGTCGGAGTATTGATATCCCAGAGTGTTTCGGTGCATAGCCCTGCTTCTCCAGGTTGAGAGATCATGATTGTTATCATGAACATCTTTCGCGAAGGAAAGCGAAACGGCTATTACTTGTTCAACCGACCGAGCGAAGCCCTGGGGATGGTCTAGAAATTGACCTGAGGCAAGTATGTTGAAGGACCCTGCTCCAGTTTCGTAGTATCTTCTCCGAACTTCAAACACTGACACAAGTTCGAGAACGTCTAAAACGCTGTTTGACGAGTGTGCCTCTTCGACTCGAAACTATGAGCGGTCATCGAACTGACTGATTTCAACCCAAACCTTAGATGTCAATTTTGCCAATGGTAAGATTGTACAGAACGTTATCAAAATCGGTACTACTCTACGTAATCGAATGTGTAGCTACCCTGAAGAGACATAAAAACAGCTGAGTTCCGTAGAATTGCGACTTCTCACATGGATACGTGGGGTCGACAGAACCGACCAAATTCGCAATGCCTTTACAGAATGAATTTTACGTGTAGCATCAATTTTATAAAAGCTTATCGATTCAGCAACCTCCGTTGGTTTGACCATGTGACAAGAGAAGCTGATGCGCAGGTTGGAAATGTGGTATAAATGCTGGTACGGTCAAGAAAGAAAACGGAGGCAAGACCACAGAAAAGGCGGTCAGATATCCTACTGAAAGTTATGAAACTGCGAGGAGTAACCAACGATTTTACTAAGGGCAAAAACACGTGGAGTTAAATGACTCGAACCGCAGACCCCTGTTAAAATGAACAACTGCCAATCTATATATTTACCTTAGTGCCACCGAAGCCGAAGTCGTTGTTGTTTTCCCGGCGCAACGGGGCGGATTCCCTGCTACCGTATTCGTATTTCGCATAGGGCTTTCTCATCCTCGGTTCTTTGTCGCTTCTACAATACGTCAACCGAGAAGTGAAGAACCATGTGTGGCGTTGTGCTCGCTTACTTCAGAATCATCCACACCGCAACGATCAAGCATATCAGCACGATCAAGAACAACAGCGCAAACGCTATCGTCAAGCCAATCAGGACGCCAACGTTCTAAAGCAGAACATGGACCTCTCCACGGAACATCAAGACATCGATTACGTTGGCTGAGTAAGCTTCGTTGGTTATGTCTTCAGACGTTATGCACCTGCTGCCTGTGACTCCCAACGGACAGAAGGTACACGACGCGCCGGCACCGTTGCAGAGATAATATTGTACCTGCTTCGTGATGGCATTTTCCGAATACAGGGGGTTATCGCTTGATGCCACGTACACCGGCTTCGTGCACAGCAGCATTGCAGAACTGGCTTCCAATTCGGTACATGAGTCGAACTCACAGTATCTGCCGTAACTTCCGCTGGCGCACTGCATCGAAACTGCTATTTCGCAACTTAATATAAAAAACTCATCAAAATTTTCAACGACATGAAACTGGTCAAATACGCTTTTCCCTGGCTTCTTGTCCTCCACAGGATCTGCCATTGCATGGCCTTTATTTAGGACACCCAGGTCTTTGAAGCCTTCTACTGCCAGTTGCCTAACGAGTCTGATGAGTCAGCATTTCCTAGTGTATCATGCATTGGATCACTTGTTCTGCGCTGGACTAAGTTGTAGTTCTGCACTTGTCTTACAGCGAGCGCCCTGAATATTCCCTCTAGAAATTAAACCGTGGTCAAGCAGAATTAAGGTGGTTTTGGATGCCATCTTCAAATGACCTTTTGATTTGAGCCCAGAACCCTGGTTCGCTAATGAAAGTGATACGAAGAAAACATGCCGTGCATCTGACCTTAATATCACACTGATTTTTGAAGAGGATTGGACATGTTTTGTTTTGAACATTATTTTGTACTTTGTATCGCGCGAAGGGCGAGTCGTATTTTACAAATAGCGTTTGAACGACCCTGATAAAATACATGCATTGTTTCACTATATTCTTATTGCATTATTATTAAAATATTATTCATTTATTCTTTTCACCTGATTTAATAACGTTGTTAGCAATCCTTACCTTGACTGTGCTATGTAGCTGCTTGTGAGTGATATCGACACCAGAGGAACGCTGGTCGCGTTGAATGGAAGCGGTGCTAGTGTAGTCAAGTTAAACACGAAAGAGTCAAACATGACAGGCGCCATTTTCAGCACTTGAACCGCGTTTGACGAGTAAATCGTTCCGATACTTCTGACAAGTACTTCCACCGATGGCTAAAAGTACCGAAGTGTCAGGAAGGCAACAGCAGAAATGAGATACTTACCGGAGGAGCCGGCAGGACGAACTGTTGTGGAGTCGCCCACGTTGTTTCCACACAAAGATGCAACTCGTCGAAGGGTTCGCATCCTTCGGGGCGATACAGAGAACCGTTGGCGAAATTTATTTTGCTGAAACCACTCTTTGATGGCGTTATGGGCATCACCATCATTGGAGTTTCCCAAACCAGAGGTACCCTGTAAAACAGGAAGTACACTAAAGTTAACGGTATGGTGTGAGAAGTTGAAAATAAACTTAAGGTGACCAGCTTAAGAAAAAATTGGAATGAAGGAGAGAAAGAAAAGTACAACCGTTTTCTTTGCATGGTTAAGTTTATTTTGGCACCTATTTCATGAAGTAAATGGTTGTACATTTAATACCATCTTATCTTTTTAAAGGCAGAATCAACAACAGCCGTATTCATCCATTTTCTGTCAGCAATTTATCATAATGGTACTCATTTATCAACATTAGAAGAAAATAGGCGAATGACCCCCACAGGGAATCGAACTCAAGGACTCTCGGTTCTGAATCTGATGCTCCACCCATTGAGTAATTCTGCTCTGAAGCAACATCTGGTAAATTCTTTGCTAAAGAGAATTCGTGGAGAAGAGGTAGATTGTCAACTTTTGGAATTAAACTCGGCACCCCCAAGGTTAGAGTTCGAAGACGACCATCGTGTAACCATATCACTGTACCGCAAATCCGAACGCAAGTAAACTTAGTGCATTATGCGAGTCTACGTGGTCGAAAGGAGTGCCAAAAAGCCTAGTTTACTATTCACATAATGGAAGCCAGAAAGAACGGGGACAGAGAAAGAATATCAGGATGATATATCATTCGGTTTATACTCTCAGTTAGCAAAAAATAGCCATTAAGCATTTGATAAGCTAAAGAAACCCTTGCTATAACATGTGTAATATTATGTTCAAAGAAATAACAGCATGATTTGGAAACTGCATTTCGGTTCCAGCTGTTATCTTTTCAAGCGGCGTGAATTATGCCATTTCCAAACCGTTTCCTGATATAATATTGCAACCTGGTCTGCTGCAATATTAACCATGCTAGATTTACCTGATGCTCAGGCTAATTTAAATAGCAGTTTATTCGACCGATTGATTTTATCCATCCAGTAGTGTTCGTATCGTCTACTGGTCATATCGTGAGTTGCCGTGCTCTGTGTTGAGAGCACATCGCATGCTGAAATATTGTTCGACATTGCCTTCCCTTAGACTCAATATGAACGATAGCCCCTGACTGATTGTAGGTGAATTGTCCTTCATTGAATGCGTGACTTTGTACCTATTTATCGCCGCAAATGCCCTAATGAAAATCGTGTTATCTAACGCCTAGTGATAAAAGGACATTAGTTAGAACTTGAATAATCGGAGGAAGTTCAGGAATATATGAAACGTGCAGGATGTCAATGCGAAACGGCCGTAATCCGTAGTTGATCTACACGTGTTGTAACAAACCTTTACATGATAACTCTTATAGTAATACTGATAAAAACTAGCCTGTTGGGTAAACACGGTGATGATTTAATGATTTCATGCAAAACGTTGTTGTTTTGCGCGTAGGCCATATGGTGAAAACAGTACATCAGAAGTACCAGTACTTTCATCTGCGTTTCGAAACATGCACAGGTACTTATCCAAGTTAAGTCCAGGTTTTGCTCTTAATTTGTAAGTTCGCGTTGAAGATACTTTTACCATTCGTCAAATGGACGATACATGAAATCTCGCATTCGAAATGATATTTATTAACATTTTGTAGTTTTGATCAAAGTTATATTTGCAACCGAGTGCCCACTAGAATATTCGGTCTGTTCTTTTCGTGCCATAAACTGGTGTTCAGCTACGTACCTTGGAGAGACGATAGGCAAGTGACCGATGGGCAGTCGAACAAAGAACTCTGCGACTGTGAGTCCAAGTCTGATGCTAGCCGATTGAACCACCCCTAGTTCCTGACAATGAGTAAATGTATTTCTGCTTTTATTTCTTGACTGTACCGAGTGTAACAGTACCTTTAATAGAGAAAAGAAACCCCCAAGTACAGGTGGAGCTCTAGGTCAGTGAAGTAGCTGGTTACCCAATATATCAGCTAGTGCCACGGGAGCCTTCATGGTGAAAGCCTACAGTACATGTTTACTATTTTGATATCGTACAGTATGTAGGGATATTTACGACGACATGATCAGATGAAACGGATGTTGCTGTTTGAGAGAATAACCACTTGCATGACCAAGCTTCCACGATGCGCTTTACAGGTTCTTTGACAGAAACTTAAAGACGAAGAATATTTTCATGTTATTAACTTTAAGTCCGGAGAATAATGTGGCGATTGCTTTTGAGGAATCTAGGAACGCATACATGGAAGGCATAAGTGAAAGAAGAGAAGAAGGCACAGTTTGATCATAAGGAGAACAGTGGATCTTCCCTTGTCTTCGGCGAAAAAGAGAGTACACGCTGTTCCACATGTCATCAACAACCCGCCCACTTTTTTGGACAAAGATAAACCTTAAGAAAACATGACATCATGATAACTTGTGGCTATCGTTTTAAACTTGGTTCTCATCAGGGCTGGAAGTCGGCTCATGAAGAATGAATTGTTTTCATTCTTCTCCTTAAATCCCGTATCTTGTTGCACTTTTCAGAATTTTGCCACAGCTACGTATCGGACAAAGTTCTAACGATGTTGGACAGCTTCAATTAGGAAGTATTAGTCACAGCTGTATTAACTGGCGTGTCGTCAGCAAAGCTGAGAAAGCACTGTGAACTTTAGGTCACCATCGCAGATGATGAGGAGATGTAAATACTTCACGGCGTGTTGTAGTTAAAAATGATATGGTATAAATTAGCCTAGAGCAGAAACAACCCATTCAGTGCAGTGTTACTAGGAAAGTCAAGTCAAGGATGCCCAGGCATCAACACTCGGAATAGCCGGTGAGCTAGCTACTGAGCCATTTTCATGTGGTCATAAACTCCGGCACAATAATTCACTGCCAATACCTGTGGGTCATGTTGGACATTTTGAATATGAGGTTTCACTTGTCATTTGTCGTCTTTTGTACATTCTTCTTCCTCAATCTCAACCAAAGGAGAAAACGGTGAAATGGAAATACCTGCAGTTCATCTACCTTTACGGTAATGCATCACATGGCTTAGAAATTTGTCATGACGTACCGGCTCGTTGTGTTGACATCACGTAACTTTCAGATAGCGTTAGTACACATATAAGTTGAAGCTGCGAGTTTAATCGATGATTCATCGCAGATTACAGAATATGGTTTGCAACGGGATGGGGAAAATCTTTTCAAATGCATGATTTTCTGGCTAATTGTAATTTGCATTACTCAACCAAAAACTTTGCTATAAAAAGTAATAAATTTATCATCTTTCGTGAAGTTATGATTCGGCTGGATTACTAAGGTGTCTTTCATTTGTCTCTACAGGCTGTCGACCTTCGCTTTTTGAATCCACCGAAGATTTGGATTATTCGAGCAATGACAAGATTCGCTATCATGGCGTAAAGCATAAATTAAATTGCACATTATTTTTCATAATCTGAACCTCGCTCGCTTACAGAACAACTTTGGGGTGACCATCGGTATTAACCTCAAGCAAGAATTTCGAACAAGTGATTTCCTGCCATCATACCGAACGATGAAGACAAATGGGCAAAATGAAGCAAGTTCTGTGGTATGGTCCAAAGAGGATGTTGACACTCGAAAAGAAGAGCACACCGCTTTCGGTCACAACGATCAAAATCGGGAAATCACAGTCATGACACTAAGTTCCAGTTTAGTAGCTCACTCCAGAGACGTAGGACAGCGGTTGTCAGTGGCACTTGGGTCCACATAATCAGAAAAGCATGATTACCAGTGAATGGAAATCAAAATGCCAAATCTAAATGCAGCTATCTGGATGTTCATGAGTCGATGTGCTCGTCGTGCAAATGCCTGTCGTGAAGCGGAAAAGCTCTTGAAAACTTTGGCCACAAATGGACGACTTGACAAATCTCGTATCTTCGAAACAAATAACTTAAAAAACTCATGCTAATATCGCTCCCAAAACTTTTTCTTCTTATTAATCGTTGAATGAAAAAATGTATTCGAGTCTTCGAACAAATATTGTGCGGCACATGTCATTTCTTGTCCTGATAATTGTTAAATATTTAACAACAAAAAGTAGAAAGTGTATTTGTTATGAGACTTTTAACATATTTTACTGCCAAGCTCGAAAAATCATTTCATACGTGGGTAGCCATAGATTTGCATAGCAATTCTAAAATGACCTGTGACACAAAGCAAAGAAAGAAGTTTTTAGTAAATAGAGACTAAACTTAGTTTATATTTTCTAATACTCATACTGATACCTTGCCGTAGATGACTTGAAGGTGAGAGGTAACGTACTGCTAATTATGGAATCAGAACACCTGTCGCCTTTAAACTTAAGTTTAATTTGATAAAATATAATGAAATATAACCTAATATTTTGAAGTAGCTACGATGAATGACAACTGTTCAATTCCGCCGCTAAATATTGCATTTCAGGCACTGATACTGGATCTACGTGGCAAACATGCACTATGGTCTTATCTATGGTCGTCCACGGGAGCCATTTAATGAGGCCACAGTTACATGGAACCTAAGCGTCCGCAGGGCATCTCTGAGTTGGGCTAAACAAGGGCATGTTCGAACACCAACAAAATTTGCCACTTGCAGATCCTCGAGTATACTGTTGTTCAGCACCAACTAAATGATATCGTCTTTCAGTCGATGCACTGCATGCTTTCAATACCATCTAGCCATTACCTGCTTAAATCATCCCCCAGTAGACACCTTAGATGACTAGGAGCAAGGTGACAATGTCAATCATCGTGTAAATCCGATATCAGTTACCATAGTTGCTTGATTTGCTCATTACTTTGCCTGGTGTATCAAGCCCTTTCAAACTATTGTAAACATTTATCGCCATATTACTTGTTGAACCATCAGTTAGAGGTTACCTGTGTGATGAAAGTCAAAAGTCGAATCATCCTACAAGACAGCCAACTTTGGTTGTTGTATGAGTTCTTTAGCCTGTCGTACGTCTTTTATGGCTACAGCCACTGAATCATGCAATTTGTCTTCTGATCAGCTGGAGAAAATTGAGCATTAGGAGACGTGTCTGTTGCTATTTTTAGAATTTTACCTCTCTTCCAGTCTGAGACTCATGAACAACAATCTCTGACAGACCGTTTCGTTCAGCAGAACTTTACCTACCGAGAAGCCAGAAGGTGATACTGAGAAACCGTTTTAACATATTCATCCATTTTTAAAACCAGCTTATTAATTTGCTTACAGGTGTCAGGGGGTTCAGGAGTGGTTCAAGTACGCTACTAGGCATGGCAACTTCGTTGCAGGACTGAACACTGTGACGATATCGGGTGACCAGTGAACTTCAGTCACCTGTTTTGCAGCATGTTATGTGGCGTCCTGTATTTGGCCTTCTGAGAGACATCGGTCATGTGCGTTTCTTCTCCTGCATTCTTACCAATTGTTCACATCACATTGCAATTTTGATTCCTCGATCAGAAAAAGAAGTTGCCCACAAGATTGAATACCCCTGATGCCATATTTAAAAGCTTGTCAACTTTTTCACACCCGTAATCCTCAAAATGATCTGAATTTTGCATCTAGGATATGATATGATATGCATCGGATTCCACTGGTCCATATCCAGTATACACGACGACTATGAGTCAGATGCGTGATCAGACTTGAAAGACCTTGGATTCGCTTGATACCTTAGTTGCTCTTCATCGCCATAGAGCGGTTTAACATTCGCTTGCCGACACGTGTGCCTATTTCCTGCTATCACTTATAAATACGACCCTGAAATACCTAACTTTTTTACCTGCTCCAGTTGCACTCGATTTATCTGCATACCGCATCAGTGACTTTTATTGAGAACTAGAGCAAATGTTCAGGATAAATTATTCGAAATAAAGCAGGGGTCATCGCTCACCTGAAAAAAAAACTGTTCACAAAAAAGATATTTTCATATTTGTGGTTTTTTGTTGCTCCATGTGATGCGTGTAGAAACGAAGGAGACTCGGTGGCGTTCTGCGCAATATTTACGAGCCCTTCTTTGAGTTTGCAGTTTCATATGAGACATACTTGAATGACTTTGAGAGGTATTGCTCGAAATCATAAGCTTGAGGTATTTTGCCCTGATCAGGAGAGCTAGCAATGAGTACTACATCATATCGCTTTGCAATCTACGGTAAAGCATATTCTCTTGAGCTTTCATGACAAGTGTGAAGATTCATCGTGAATCTTTTAAAGGCAGGATAAGGAAGTTGATGTATCAGCAGATGGCAGAGCAAGTTTTGTTAGAAGATAACTGCAGATTGCAAATGCGAAAGGAAGAAGTTGGGG